TGGAATAATCTGGAATTAAAGTATGGTTTATAGGATTTTAGGTTTCTTTCAATTAATTTTAAAGACATTAGCTACCATAAATTATTGCTTCCAATTTTAAAATTTTGTGGCATCATTTGGTATATAATATATTTAATTAGTTGTATTAAATTTATAGCAATTTTATACTTTTACAACATATTCCTTAATCTAGAATTTATATATCTCCCCTTCAAATGTGTATGGGAATACCTCCTCTGACATGACAAGTTATTCAATATCTATTTGTGGAACTCTTAAATGAAATCACAAATAATAACAATCTACAAATAAATTTTTATACAAATGTATAGATGCTTTATTGCTTTTTTACATGGGAGAATTCATCTTTCTTAGATGGATCCATTAATTTGCCCATACAAGCTTGCCATATGGATGGATCATTGATCGAGCCCTTCAATCAATCAATGGTTAGTTGTAGTCAATTAATTGATCAATAGGCTCATTAATCAATCACAACCTATCAATTGATCAATTATGTGGTAATGGTAAATGTGGCAAGCAAAGGAGTTATTATGGATCCATACCTAACCATAACTACTTGCCATTGGCTATGGGTTATCACAACCTACAGCCGATTATGGATTTTAGATTTTGTGCATATATAATGCTGATGTGTGCTTAAATTTCCTTTTTTTTTAGAGTGTAATATACTTGTTGAAAGTGATAGGTAGTGGTCTTTTTTTTTTCTTTGTTGTTTAGTTAAGAGTGCAACAAATAAAAAATGCATATTTTATTTGTTATTCTTTGCTAGTATGTATGTAACATCTTTGTGCTTACACTTTATGTAGTCATTTATGCAATAGGCTATTTTTCTATGCTTACTAATGTGCAAAAATTGTATTAAAGTTTAAGAATTGCTCCAAAGTGCTTGACAAAGACAATTCCTTCATAACATAGTTCAAAATGACATATTCATGACTCCTTCCATCTGTGCTTTGCTATGGCCTCCATACATGATATAATGTAACAATGAGTAGTCTTAATGCTAATAGGGACTATTAAACATACATGTGGTAGGACATGTGCAT